TTGTGCTCTGAAGTGTCAGGCAGGTTTCTGAAGCTGTGTCCTTAAATTGCAACATTTTATTGACAAACATTGGCTACATGTATCAGAGTTACAATACGGCGAACTAAAACCCATGCTGAGCCCATTTATACCGTTACCCACACTAGTGATCCTATTGCACCAGGTGTCACCTACCTTTCATACTTACTGCATGCAGGTCCCGGGCGGGAACTATTCAAACCCCACATATTCGTTGTTTACATCCTCTGTTTCCAGGCGAGCCAATAATAATGCAGGCATACAGACTGCCGGATATGACGTCACTACCACAGGTAGAGCACCCTGTCAGTGTCTAGGGCTTAGAGTTCTAATCACTTAGAGATAAAGCTGTCAGGGCGACACCATGTCCATGTAGAACTCTGAATACTATGTTAGAGCACGTGTGTTTGAACTCTGCGGAGTCCTAAATGGGATGCTATAAATGCAGGGAAACATTCATGGTCTGCAATACGTCTTTCACACTGCCTACAGTTATATCATGGCTACCATGCAGAGATTCAGTGATAAACCCTATGTGTGCCCACCTGCTGTATATTGGTCTCCAAGTAATGGCACTCAGAGTAATGCAAACAATATCTCTATAACAGTGTCTAAAGCTAAGAAAGAACAACAACACTGGGAGTACATTCATGTCACACAGGGTATGGAGGGAACACATTTACAGTTTGGGCGAAATATAAAATAAATTTATTTATTTTTCTATCTTTCTGTGTATGTGGAACGTATGTTGAGAGTGTGTAGTTCCCAGCCGGAGCAGTGTGCTGGTTGCACTTGCAGGAAAGCATGTGATGTCTTCATTCACCCTGCTGCAGGTCACAGGAGAAGTTTTAGAAGAAGATGCTGTTTTTGAGGCTGCTTTTCAATGCTGGCTGCAGGAGGCAACCCCCTGCAAAGCTGGCCTGCCCCTTAGCATTGTCTTTACCTGGGAGGACCACTACAAGTAGGTGCCTATACAGTTAGATTAGTATTATAAAAGGTACATGTTGCATGGTTTGAGCAATGCCAGTGTACATTAACAGTAAGCTTATCCCAAAAATTAAAAATGTACTGATTGAAAATGAATAGTAGATTTGTAGGATGGAGTGGCTGAATTAAACTGTTTTTTACCTGCAATGTTTGAATGGAGGTTACTGGCCAATCAGTACAGGTTTGGCATATAGATCATTTAAGAAAGATATTACTGTGTTCAAGGGCTAAATTGGCAGTTTTCTTTTTTTTAACATGTACTGTATTACTTTACAAGATTTTAGATGATCCATGTAAAAAAAAAAAAAAAAAAATTTAATTAACTTTTTAATTTATTTTTTGTTTCTAGTAATACAGCTGAGAAACCAAACTTCACAAAATACTCATGAAGATATGGTAAGAAGTAGCACTAGAAGTGTTGTTTTATTATATTACAGCTTAGAGAATCAATAAGTGGAATAGTGATTTAAAAATTATAGTTGGTCTACAGTGCATACATTGCAAGTAATGAGCGTACACACAAAGGCCACATTTTAGTTTGCAGGTGATCAGTATACAATGTTAACTGAAATCTTGAGTGGTTACTTTAAAATTTAGAATCCTTAGTGGGGGCAGATGATTTGGAAGGTAAAAGTAATTAAAGTGGCACTGTCATTGCTGAACTTACCTTTCTTTAATCTATTACTCTTCTCTCCCTCTCTCAGGATCTGTTCTTCATGTCTGCTCTAGTTTTCCTTAAAGACAAAGTAGGGACTATTTGTCTTATGGAGGTTTCCTACGCCTGACCATCTCTGACCAGCGGCGGAGCAAAGTGTGCTTCATTTCTGGTGGTCAGAGCAATTTTCCCTTAATTCTCACCTTTCCTCCGTGCTCCCGCAAAGCCTTCTTTCACTTTTCATTTAGACAGAACGCCGGTGAAACTACCGAATTGCGTCCTAACAGAATGAGAACAATTTCAGTTAGGACGCAATTCGAGACTTTGTTCGTATCGGAATTTTATTCGAATGAATGAAACTCCAATCCTATTAGTGCCGCAGCTGCATCTTGCCGCTTAGTAGATAACTCCCTAATTCCCACGGTATTAGGGAGCTATCTACCAAAAGGCTGAAAGACCTAAATTGGTCTTAAGCCAAATTTACTAATACTAAGTAAAAAAAACAAAAACCCGACCCCCACCCCTAAATGAAAATGTTACCTCCCCCAAGGTCCCCAAGCCCCTAGTCACCCCCCTCACCCAAGAAATCGTGAGGGAGGAACAAAATAACTAAGTACCTATAAAAAAAAAAAAAAAAAAACTTACCATTTGATGTTTTCTTTTTTCTTAAATCTTCCTTTTTCAGCCCCCAAAAAGGCCAAATAAAAATCCATAATACACTTCGAACTTGTCCTAAAAAACCCCCAAAAACTATTGTGTCCCCCCCCCCCCATTCTCATTTAGGGACCCCACCGCCACTCAGGGGTGGGGGCTGTGGGGAGGACAAAAGGTCCCCCCCCATCTCATTTAGGGCCCCAACCCGACGCTCAGGGGTGGGGGAGGACAATAGGTTCCCCTCCACCCACATTCTCATTCAGGGCCCCCACCCACCGGTGGGGAGGACAATAGGTCCCCCCTATTGTTATTTAGGGTCCCACCCGCCGCTCAAGGGTGGGGGCTGACACACACACACTCTCACTCACTCTCACACTCTCTTTCTCTCTCTCTCTTTCTCTCTCTCTCTTTCTCTCTCTCTCTTTCTCTCTCTCTCTCTCTCTCTCTCTCTCTCTCTTTCTCTCTCTCTCTTTCTCTCTCCTCTTTCTCCTCCTCCTCTCTCCTCTCTCCCTCTCTCTCTCTTTCTCTCTCTCTCTTTCTCTCTCTCTCTTTCTCTCTCTCTCTTTCTCTCTCTCTCTTTCTCTCTCTCTCTTTTTCTCTCTCTTTTTCTCTCTCTTTTCTCTCTCTCTCTTTTCTCTCTCTCTCTTTTCTCTCTCTCTCTTTTTTCTCTCTCTCTCTTTTTTCTCTCTCTCTCTTTTTTCTCTCTCTCTCTCTTTTTTCTCTCTCTCTCTCTTTTTTCTCTCTCTCTCTTTTTTCCCTCTCTCTCTTTTTTCCCTCTCTCTCTTTTTTCCCTCTCTCTCTTTTTTCCCTCTCTCTCTTTTTTCCCTCTCTCTCTTTTTTCCCTCTCTCTCTTTTTTCTCTCTCTCTCTTTTTTCTCTCTCTCTCTCTTTCTCTCTCTCTCTCTTTCTCTCTCTCTCTTTTTCTCTCTCTCTCTCGTTCTCTCTCTCTCTCGTTCTTTCTCTCTCTCGTTCTTTCTCTCTCTCTCTTTCTCTCTCTCTCTTTCTCTCTCTCTCTCGTTCTCTCTCTCTCGTTCTCTCTCTCTCGTTCTCTCTCTCTCTCTTTTTCTCTCTCTTTTTCTCTCTCTCTCTCTTTTTTTCTCTCTCTCTCTCTCTCTTTCTCTAAAGAAAGGTAAGTTCGGCATGACCGTGCAGCTTTAGGGAGAAAACTCTACATCTCTTGCAAACATTTTATGGTGTAAAATGATTTCCAGCATTGGCATTTTAGTCTCTATAACTATAAGACATATTCCCACTCTCTTAACAACTGCTCTTAATTTGTTTAGATTGTGCTTCTAAGGACATCTTTATTTATTAATTACTTGCTTGACATGTTTTTCAGTTTTATTTATCTCTATCCATTGCAATTACAGCCACAGCAGATGGAGAATCCGTATAAAGAGCCTCCTAAGAAATGCGTGTTGTGTGGTGTCCCTGTAGATTACAAGAATACACAGGTAGCCTTTTTTAGAAGTTAATCTGCAAATAATTCTAAAACCTGATCAAAATTATTTTTATTGCTATTGGTGGCAGACATTTAACTTGTCTATGCCAATAGTCAACACCTTGCTTTGTTTGTGAGTGAGTGTTTAGGAACGTAAGCTATTGTTTTAACAGGATTTGAATGTCCTATGGTATTGGCAAGGCCTAAAAGTGAGGTGTCCCTGTAAAACTCCTATTTCAGTGTGATCACTGTAAATGGACAGGGCAGTAGCATATGCAGCATCTTTACCCACAAATGACGTTTGCAGCTTCCTTGAGTTCTTGTGTGTTCATGCAGCACATTGAATATTTAATATTGGTAATTTTTATTGCTACAGCTGTGACAGAAAATTGGAATAACGTATCCGCTTTACGTTTGCAAGTACTTTGGCCTGCACTATGTACAAATTTTAAATTTTTTTTTTTTTTTTTTTTTTAAAAACAAGGAGAACTTAAAAGCAGATTGAGGGTTAGTAAGGTTAAAGGAGACAGTGGTCAAAGGACTGATAGTCAGAGACCACGCTTGGTACGTAAGGAGTTAGAGTAAGTTCCTATAGCGCATAATATTAAAGTTAATCACAGTGAAGTAAGGAGACTAGTACATTGATGTCACTGTGAAGACTAGAGACTGGCTAGAAGGTTTACACTAGTTTCAGTGCTTTAAATTAATGTTTTTGTCCTTACGGTACTGTGGAGTCATGCAGCTCGTGTGCACTCCCAGGAGTGAAAAGAAAATCTTATTAGTCACTGTCAAAAAAGCTACCATGTGGCAGGAGAAGAAGAAGCAAGAGGGGGACTTAAGTGCCTGAAACTGTTACCTTTTCTGAAAATATGCAGCTGCCCTATCTCAGTGTTATCCCACTCATGACAGATGCATGTATTGGCTTTATGGCCACTTTTGCAATAAACTACAGCTTTAAAACCGCACCTGGGATCCCCACAGGCGACTGACCAATGTCTAGTAAGTGAGTGGATAATTGAGGCCTGGCTTTATGATCCTAAATGATCAGTGACCAGAAACCAGCCATGCACTGCAGGTTCAACCTTGTGGATTTTGTGGTACAAACCCAAAAATTGCTGTTATACGTCACCTGTATATCTCAAGTTGGACTTTGAAAAGTCCTTATTGTTCACATAAATACTTGAAATCATATTTCCACACAGGCATTGCGTTTCATACTTAATTTCTGCAGATACCCCTAGCAATGGACTTAAACACAGATTTTTATTTTTATTAAAACAAAGAATGGACAATATTCCAAAATGATCAGCAACCAAAAATCTTGTGGGTCTCATCAGCATTTTCTTCATTTCTATTTTCTGTTAACACTGCCCTACATTATGTGTTTGCATGTACTTTACTCTACCACTGAGCATAAAATGTAAAGTAAGCACTAGTTCTAAAATAAACCATATGCACCTAAACAACTTTAGCTTAATAAAGCAGTTTTCGTGTACAGATCATGCCCCTGCAGTCTAACTGCCCAGTTTGCTGCAATCTAGACGTTAAATCACTTTGTTTATGCTCCCCTGCATGTGACCTACACAGTCTACCTACATATTTCCTGTAAAGAGAGATCTAATGTTATTGCACAGTCTGTTTAATTTAGAATTTCATATCTTCCACTTGAGTAGCCAACTAGAGCCTAGTTGTGTGTGATTAAAGTTTAAATTAACAGAGGAGGAGGTCAAACTTCTACAGTAAACACACTGTGCTCTTCCCACTGATTGAAAGTGAAAAAAACATTTCAAGGAGGCTGTGTGAGTCACAGCAAGAAGAGGTGTGGTTAGGGCTTCATAAACGGAAACAAAAGTGATTTAACTCCTGATTGGCAGATAATTGAGCTGTGAGGCTGGAGGGGCATGTTCCAGACACCAAAACGGCTTTATTAAGCTAAGGAAGGAAGTTATCATAAAGTACTTCAAAATGTGTATACCTTGTATTGATATATTTTTTAATATGTTTATTGCAAATTGTGGACAAACAACATAAACAGAGCGCTCAAAAAACATTTCCTCTTTCCTGCACAATGGAAAGCTGGAAACTAGTCAACAAATAAGTTTTCTAGTTGGATGCCGGGATCACATGTTCTCTAGAGCTCCATTCTTTTTTATGATTGTGATGCAATTAAAAGTGATTTGGTTAGATAGAATTAATATTAATCTTAAACATATATTTTATGGAAATCTTTGTAGATACAGTGCTTTAAATGGACACCAAAAGTGATTTGGTTAGATAAAATTAACATTAAAAATTTATTTTATGGAAAACTTTTTAGAGACTGCTTTAAATGGACACTTTATGGAACAAAATCACCTCATCTTAATTAAGTAGTTTTGCAGCATAGATAGATTTTACAACCCAACACCCCTAGTGGCTGTCACTCACATTAAAATAGGTTCAATAACTGAATCTATTTTACATTTGTTGTCAGCATTCCAGACGCTGGGTGTGTATGCCTAATGCTTATTTATGAAAAGCATTGGATTGCAGCTCATAGAAAAGTATTTCATTGGCAGATTGCCATTCATGCATTATATGTCTGCAGTGCTTTTCTGTGAAAAACATTCAATTCAACACAGACATCAGTCTTAATGGTCTCACAGTAGGCAGATCGAGCTGCAGTGAGGAGCCTGTCCAACACCAGATTACAGGTAAGTTTACAGGAACATTCCAAAGTTAAAAACAAAAATTTGGTTTTAATGTTTTGAGTGTTCCTTTACTACAATAACTGCCATGCATTACCCTCATACCTGCATTTTTATGAATTGGAACAAAGTGGCACATCTACCTAAAATAAAAAATAAATAAAAAATTGCTGTCCTAATTAATTACACTTTGAGAAAATAATTTGTAGTTAATCCTTGGTTATAAACAGCCACTGAAAATAAAATCATGGTTATCATGAGAAATTGCTGCCCTTTTATCTAATTTGACCCTGTTTAAGATTATTTTATATTTGTTTTTATAAAATAAAAATGTTTTGTATTTACATTATATTTTGTTTTTAAAAGCTGCTGTCTCAGTTTATATCATCTCAGACTGGGCGTATGTATGGCAGACACATAACAGGTATTTATAGAGTTTTGTTTATTATTTGCATTTAGTACAGGGTTTATTGGTTGAAATGCAGGCAGTCTTGTGCCGTTGACCTATTCTACGAATATAACATCGGCCACAAGTATCTGTATCTGTGTTTGTTTGTTTTTTGTTAATACAATGCATTTTTCATGCATGTTTTTTTTTCTTCCTTTTTTCAAAATGCAAAAAAACAAATCCTAAAAGAAAATTCTAGTATGTAGATACACCCTCGAAGAAAACATGCATTCATCTAATTATGCATTTTTACGTTGGAGGTTTATCTAAAACATCTTGCCAAAGCTGCAGATCTCTTGTCTGATGCCATTATAGGCAGTGGTGTATCTTGAAATGGTGCTGCCCTAGGCATGACAGATCTTGGGCACCCCCTAATTTAAATTTACCCGCCCCTTCCTGCCAAGGCCACTCCTGTTCCTGTTAACTTACACATATTTTGACTGACAGACACACACTCACTGACTAGCACACACTCTCAGTTACACTGACATGCACACACAAATACACTCACTGATTTGACACAATCTGACAGACACATTCAATCATTCAGACAAACACTGACAGACGCATACACTCACTGACAGATGCGCATAAGCATTGACAGACGCGCCCACTTACTGACAGACACGCACATTCAATGACAGACAGACACACACTCACTGACAATCACAAACACACACTCACTCTTATTCACTGACACACTCACACACATTCACTGACAAACACACACACACATTTTCCACCAACACTCTCAATTATTATTTTAACATTTTTTTAAATCCACCCAGCCTGCACTCAATACCTCAAGTAGCCTCACACACCACCAGATGAAAACTATTAAATAGATGTTAAATCTGCAGGGTGTCCCATGGCTTTATCATCCAAAGTACTTAATGTGAAAGATGGACTGCAAGCAATAACTATAATAGTGATCCTAGACGCTTGTGTCCTAGAGGTTGTCAGATGTACCTGCCATGTAGTAAGTGGTTGGCGGAAGTACCCAACATTCACTAAATGGTTGGCGGAAGTACCTAGCATGTACTAGGTGGTTGGCGGAAAACATGTATATCGCTTACTTAGTATTGTGGGTTAGGGCAGATCTGTCAGCCAAGTCTGCTTCTTTTTGCCCGCCCTCTCCAGGCTCCCCCCTGCTCATCACAAATATCCTGCTGTGACTCACCTGTTTCCGGACGGGCTGGGTTTGGGAGGAAGATGACACTGGGTCCTGACCATCTTCTGGCACCGAGCAAATGTCTCTGGAGCGCAGTGACTTCCAGAAAGCCCGTCCGCGTCCCCAGCTGCCACCACCGCAGGAGGAGGTGTCCTACCCAGGGCAAGAGCTATGTGGAGCTCATGAGTCTAAATGAGCACTGTATACAGGCGCTGTCCTGGAGGAAGCTCTACCTGAGCCGTGCAAAGCTCAAAGCTTCCTTCGCACGCCGCAGAGTGATGCCTGGAGCCGGACTGATGTCATATTCCGCATCACTGCTGGTTGCGCGAGGGAGCTGAGCAGTAAGAACTCCCTCGCTGCCAGCCCGCCCAGGAAACAACTGATTGCCTGCACCGGGGGGGCCCAAAGATGGCCAGCTCTTGGGCCCCCATAAAATGAGGCAAACAAGGCATTAGCCTGGGCAATGGGGGCAGTGTTTTTTGTTGCCCAAGGCAAATGCCTTGTTTGCCTCGCGGTAGATATAGCCTTGATTACAGGGATTCCTCTTCTATCTCAGCCCAGACGTTCTGTGGCTGTCTTATAACCGCATTTCCAATGCAGCTCAGTGAGAAGTCTTTGCAAGTCATATGCTCTATGCAATTGCTGCCACTTGAGTTTAGCTCCACTGAAAAAGACTACAAAGAAATAACAGGACCGGTTGTCTGTCTGACCAATTTTTATTGAAACCTGCACTTATTGTAAAATTAAAGGACACGTACTTCACACAGAAAGCACTTCAGCAATCCAAAGTGCTTTAGGTATTTGTAGTGTTCCTTTAACCTTTAAATGGGGATGCAGGGACAGACTGGGTAGACTGACTTGTATACATCCCAATTGCTTTGAATCCTGTAGGAATGTCCTTAATTCAGTCATGTCCGACTGCCCTGGGTTTGTTCCCTGCTGTCCTGCCTCTAGGGACATAGGAATGGTCCTCCGCAAGCACAACACAAGCGCATTATTACATACGCCTAATCTGTGTAAAATGCACTCAGCCTATGGGCAGAGCTCTACGCATGTGTACTACTGAGTAAGTCTGGCAAGAGAGTCTGTCAATCTGACATTCCCCTCTTTTCTGGAAAGAAAGTGCCCCTTAGAGACATCACCATTATGCTCAACCTAGTCCTGATTTTATATATCCCAGTGTTGGAAATTGTGAAATGTGGAATATTAATTTAGCATTAAAAAGCACAAATGTGTCCTTAAGGGGCTAAATAAGTATCTCAAAGTAAAAAAATAACCTACACATAGATAAAATACTTGAAGAAAAAAATTAGGGCCAGCTACAGATATAGCACATGCATATTATGTAAACATAATTTCTGATATAATTCATTTAATAGAGTTGCAGAATAAGCTGTTACCACACCCTCCCCCACAAAGTCAAATTCCATTCTAACCATGTTTTGTGCATTAACAGTATTTTCATTTAGTTATGATGAACAGACTGGGGAAACCAGCAGGTGGCATCAGTAATTCTTCACATTCAGTGCTCTTGTCCACATTAACCATTGTGGTTTCCCTGTCCTCCCCTGTTATGAGCAGTGCCACTTATATATCAAGCACTCAGTGTGTGTATAGTGAGTGGGAGGCTTCCATTGGAACATTCCATCTAAAGCACCAGTGTGTGTGTTCTAATTGTCAGCAAGTCATGTTTCTTGCAAGCCAGTTGTGAAATGCTAGTTTAGTCATTCTGTATTTCTTGTTATTGAATTCAGCATTAACATTATTTTGTTTTCAGGTTTATGTGACAAGAAACAAAAGGCAATTTCAAAAGCCATAAAGAGAGCTCGCATAATGGGTACGAAATGGCATATTAGTCACCTGTGTGTGTGCTGTATGATTGCTTCCATAAATTTAAAAATCCATATTTTGTTTTGCAGGGTTTATGCCTGTTGCATACAAGGACCCTGCTTTTCTGAAAGACCCTAAAGTATGTGATATTTGACATCCTGTACTAATTATATATTGTTAATAAATATTGTTTTGCACTGCGTGTGTACTGTCTCTTGATTGTCATGCTTACAGTAACTAAAATCATTCAAATGGGACCAGTGTTCACCTTCAAAGTACAATTGTTGTAAAGCAAGCATCTCAAGGTAGAACCCTAGCTGTTGTAGAATTTTACCTTCCATGATTCTTGACTGTGTAGGTCAATACAATATACCTTTGGCCTCCCCAGTACGAAAGTGTGTTACTTAGTTTATCGACTAATTTACTAGGTTAGCAAACCTTACCTAGTATCATCACACAGCATCATTGTGGAAATTGGACTTATTGAAATCATGAGACGGACAATATTTGGACCTAGAAGTGGAGATGTTACTATCAAATTTATGTTTTAATGAGAAAGTACTTAAGACTAAACTGGGAAAACTTGAGGGCGCCATAGAGTTCTTATTCATAGTCATGATGCCCGACTATGTTGTTCAAATAGTTAAAACTTTATTAAAATATCCGCTATTATTGTGGTATTTCTGAGTGGAACTTCCACATCAGCAGTTCTTGGGAAAAGGATCAGAACTTCTATTCCACTTAGAGGTTGCCACAACATTTCCCTAGAAGTGTTGTGTGTGCACGTGTTGGTAGTGTGTATATTTAGTGACGGTTTGACTACTTACCAAACCATCCATCCCTGCAACATGAAGGCCATTTAATTTTGAAAACTGCAGCTTTAAAAGTTACAAACCGATGCAGAAAATATTCAACTGTACTTCTTTTATTTTGTTACTAGTTTATTACTTTACTATAATGATACCATTGTTACATATAGTTTACCACTGTAAGTTACATATAGTTATTAATAATCTGGCTGTTTAGAATTTTGGTTAGCAAATATTTAACTGTTTATAACAAATGGCTGACCTGCTCCATTCTTCCTCCTCCTTGCTTGCCACTCCCAGCAGTAAATTCCTTTTAAGTAACTGTCTTATCTCTCTTCCTTAGACCCAAACCATCCATCCCTGCAACATGAAGGCCATTTAATTTTACTCCGCTCTACCCACCCACACTGGTTCCTTCTAACTATGTAGCATGCACCACCAGCTGTTTGGAACCACAGCCAATCACCTCACTATTACCGTCACATGTTATCAGCTGCTGCAGTTATACCATTAACTCTTTCTGCCATCACATACAAATTCTTCTGCTTACCTCTTGTCTCATCTCCACATGTTAACCTTTAGATTGTAAGCTCACGGGTAGGACCCTCTACCTGTTGTATCGGTCTGTTCTTATTGTGTTTGTCTTCTTCCCAATTGTACAGCGTTGCAGAATTTGTTGGCGCTTTATAAATGCCAGAAATAAAATACTACCAGAGATCTGCATGACGCTGCTCCACACCTTTCCTTTGCTGGAAGCTCCTAAGCAGTTAGCGATCCAAAATAGTGCAGGGAGAGTGACAGTGGATTGCTCTCAGCCAGCGTGCAATGCCAAAGCAAACTTCAGGGGTTGCTGTATTGGTTATGGTTCTTAAAGGAGCACTATATGGTCAGGAAAAAACAATGTATTCCTGACCTTATAGTGTTAAAACCACTATCTGGCCCACTTGGCCTCCCTAAAGATAGTAAAATCTTACTTGTATGCAAGTCTGAAGCTGCTGCCTCTGCCTGTGAACTTCCTCTGATATAATCAGAAGTGGTGGCCTGATCCAATCACATAGGATTGTCTGAGACTGACAAGGAGGCAGATCAGGGGCAGAGCCAGCACAATTCAAACACAGATCTGGCCAATCAGCATCTCCTCAGAGGTAAATTGAATCAGTGAATCTCTATGAGGAAAGTTCAGTGTCTGCATGCAGAGGGAGGAGATACTGAATGTTTGGATGCATTTTAGGCAGCCATGACCCAGGAAGGATCTCTAACAGCTATTGAGGAGCGGCCAGTGAAGTTATCACTAGGCTGTAATGTAAACACTGTATTTTCTCTAAAAAGACAGGGTTTACAGCAAAAAGCCTGAAGGTAATGATTCTACTCACCAGAACAGATTCAATAAGCTGTAGTTGTTCTGGTGACTATAGTGTCCCTTTAAAGGGATTCTATAGTGTTAGGGATGCAAATCTGTATTCCTAACACTATAGTGCTCTGTGGTCCCCCCAGCAAAAACATTTACTCACGTGATGTCCCTCGAAGGTGGGTTGGTGCTCAGTCTTCTCCAACAAAGGGACCTAATGTGCATGTGGGCCATAGCATGTAGGTCCTCCCCATAGGAAAGCGTGCATTGCTTCAATGCTTCTCTGAGGTTTTCACTAATGCTGGATGTTCTCATGCAGAGTGTGAGGACATCCAGTGTCGTTTAAGGGACTCCATGGTGGATGAGTCTATTAGAATCCCAGAAGTGGCTATCTGATAGTCTTAGTCCTGCAAAGTAATAATTGCAGTTTCTTGAAAACTGCAATGATTTACATTGCAGGACTAAGTGGGACAGGGACTCTGCACCCAGACCACTTCAATGTGATTAAGTGGTTTGGATGCCTATAGTGTCCCTTTTTAAGCTATGTAGCTTGCAAGGAGTGGGAACCAGACTGAAGGCGATAAGGAGTTGAGAAAATGAATTGATGAGATAAGCAGTTGTAATGGTTTTGATGTATAGAGCCTATTCCCGTAGTCTTATTTGTAAACAATAACTTTTGTTTTTACATTGAGCTGCAAAAACACCTCTAGTGGTGGTCACTGAGATGGCCACAAGAGAGGCTTCCTCCTTGTATACAATGTATATAGAAATTGTGGGGAAAACTCTGATATTAAAATAAAACAAAAGTTGCACAGAATTGACATTAGCCAACACAGAACTCCTAGTTCCAGGCTGGCTGATGACACGTAGACTACCAGCAGCATAACTCCACCTCCTGCAGAATCATAGTGGTGTAATCAGCCAGCCTGGAACCAGATGGGTTAATCTCTGTATGTACAGCATTTCAAAGTTAAACGTGCACATACAGACTCCAGCCACCATGGCCTAATCAAATCACTGAAGTGGTCATGGTGCTTGGTCGCCCTTTTTACTGCTAAACTGAATTCCCCAGCAGCTCATTGTCTCTGTGCTGCTCGTGCTAGTGAGGAATCATTAGCCTGATTAACAGTGGGTGGCTGTGAATGTCAGAGCGTGTCAGTTGACCACTTTCAGTCTATCACAGTGTTAATTGCTGGTATGAATTGGTACAGCTAGAAGAAAGAGTGTAATCTCACATAGCTCTAGTCAGGGCCGTCTTTAACAAGGGGCAGTTGCCCCGGGCCCAGTTATTCCTGGGGGGCCCAAAGCAACAAAGCCCAGTTATTCCTTGAGCCTGCAACAATTTAATCAGGTACCCGTGGCTCTTTAAAATGCTCCTGGACCGAGCCACTTTCACTTTGTTCTACCGGCCTGCTGGGAGGAAGTGAGTTCAGGACAGGTCACTTCCTCCCAACTAAAAGAGTGCTGTGTGGGTAGGAGGAGCTGAGGAAGCCTGGTGCCTTAGACTCCCATCAGCCTAGGTCAGCAAGCTTCCACTGGCCCCCTGGGAAGCCACCCTTCTGCATCAAAAGTAAGTAAATTGTATATGTATGTGTGTATGTCAGGCACCTGTGTGCCTGTTTGTGTACTTGTGTGTCTGTATACCTGTGTACTTTTGTATCAACGTGTACCTTTGTGTCAGGGTATATATGTACCCGTTTGCATGTGTACTTGTGTGTCCGAGTGTATCTGCACCTGTGCGTATGAGTACCTGTCTGTGTATATTTACTTGTACCTGTGTTGATGTGTGCCTGTCTATGTATATGTGTACCTGTGTGTCAAAGTGTATGTGTACCTGTGCTATGTGTCTGTATGTTTCTGTGTGTGTGTGACATTGCATACACCCATAAATTCCAACGCTAACACTACACACATACACCCGTCACCCTCCTTCTCTCTGCCACATTAACTCCCCCAATCCTGTCACTCACTTCCCATCACTCTGCCACTCACCTTATCACATTAACCCATCTATTTCTGTCAATCATCCCCCCCAACCATGCAACATAAAGCTCCCCTAATCGTATCACGCTCACCTCCCCTCACCCTGTCACACTTTTTTTTCCTTCAATGTATAAGTTGCTGTAATATGATTATGTATGGGTACTAGCTGCATTGTAGGGTTGTAGTTGTGCATATGTGGGATGTTACATTGTGTGTTTGCGCAAACAGTTTGTAGTATTGTGTTATGTCTGAATGTGGGGATGATTGTGGGAATGGGGTTGTCTGTGATGTTTATGTGGGCTGTTTGTAGTATGTGTGTGTGGTGTAGTAGTATTCTGGTGTTGTTTGTAGTATTTGCGTGTGTGTGTGTGTGTGTGTGTAGAGTAGTAGTATTCTGTTGTTGTGTTTGTAGTATTTGTGTGTGTCTGTAGTAGTAGTATTCTGGTGGTGTGTGTGATACTTGTGATAAAATCAAATTAACTAATTAAGAATGATTGATCACTAATGAGCAAATTAATCTATTATAGATAGTTAAGATGGCACTTGGCTTAAACTATGTCGCACTAAGAAATTCAGCTATGATGACATTGCATAAAATGCTTAACCCCTTAAGGACACATGACGTGTGACATGTCATGATTCCCTTTTATTCCAGAAGTTTGGTCCTTAAGGGGTTAAACTGTGTCGCAAGAAATTCAACATCGCCTGGAATATTCCATAGCATGTCTAGCCAATATCCAAAAAGGTCCACGTGCTGAACAGAGGGAATTGGTGCCAACAAATGTATAGAAAGATAAGAGTAGGGACATAGATAGAATAAGATACCGCACGTGTCTGGCATGAGCCTTGGGTGGTCACGACTGGCCTGATCAACCATACTGATTACTTAATGTGCATGACAAGATACATGCTGGGCTGCACTGATAAGAAATCTTGGAAAAGTTACAAACTTGCTAAAAAGTATAAAAGACGGAGAAACCTGGCACTCACTTGGAGAACTACCCACCTGTAATGCGGATGCGTGTTGCTGGTCTCTGCTGTTCCCAGAGAGGGTCCCCTCCAAGCCGACTGCCAGAGTTCTCCCCAGTCAAGTGCAGAGGACACAAGCCTCTAACGGTGATGTATACTTAAGCTGATATATCGAGATACTAAGCTGTTTTGAAGTGAATGCATGCAACTACTTAATGTGAGTTAAGCTTACTCTGTATTGGGTCCCCTTGTGGAAAATAAAGTGTGGTGTGAATTCTTATCTGCAACTTGGTCTCTGTGTGGTTTCTTTTTCCTATAGCCCAAGACACTCATCTCGAACTGGGTTGTGTGCCTGCCAATATCGCTATAAACCTTATTAGGTAATTGATTATTACTTTTTGGATATTGGTGCTTCATGAATTTAATGATTAGGCACAACATGTGTTTGTACTATTTGTGTGAGTGTAGTATTATGGTGTTGTGTTTGTACTATTTGTGTGTGTGTAGTATTCTGGTGTTGTGTTTGTAGTATGTGTGTGTGTGTAGTAGTAGTAGTAGTATTCTGGTGTTGTTTGTACTATGTGTGTGTAGTATTCTGGTGTTATGTGTGTGTAGTAGTAGTATTCTGGTGTTGTGTTTGTAGTATTTGTATGTGTGTCTGTAGTAGTATTCTGGTGTTGTGTTTGTAGTATTTGTATGTGTGTCTGTAGTAGTATTCTGGTGTTGTGTCTGTAGTAGTATTCTGGTGTTGTATTTGTAGTATTTGTGTGTGTGTGTGTAGTATTCTGGTGTGTTTGTAGTATTTGTGTGTGTGTAGTATTCTGGTGTGTTTGTAGTATTTGTGTGTGTGTAGTATTCTGGTGTGTTTGTAGTATTTGTGTGTAGTAGTATTCTGGTGTTTGTAGTATTTGTGTGTGTAGTAGTATTCTGGTGTTGTGTTTGTAGTATTTGTGTAGTAGTATTCTGGTTTTGTGTTTGTAGTATTTGTGTGTTTCTGTAGTAGTAGTAGTATTCTGGTGTTGTGTTTGTAGTATTTGTGTGTGTGTGTAGTATTCTGGTGTGTTTGTAGTATTTGTGTGTGTGTTTGTAGTATTTGTGTGTAGTAGTATTCTGGTGTTTGTAGTATGTGTGTGTAGTAGTATTCTGGTGTTGTGTTTGTAGTATTTGTGTAGTAGTATTCTGGTGTTGTGTTTGTAGTATTTGTGTGTGTGTGTGTAGGAGTAGTATTCTGGTGTTGTTTGTAGTATTTGTGTGTGTGTGTGTAGTAGTAGTATTCTGGTGTTGTGTTTGTAGTATTTGTGTGTAGTAGTATTTGTGTGTGTGTAGTAGTAGTAGTAGTATTATTCTGGTGTTGTGTTTGTAGTATTTGTGTGTCAGTAGTAGTATTCTGGTGTTGTGTTTGTAGTATTTGTGTGTCAGTAGTAGTATTCTGGTGTTGTGTTTGTAGTATTTGTATGTGTGTGTGTAGTAGTATTCTGGTGTTGTGTTTGTAGTATTTGTATGTATGTGTGTGTGTAGTAGTATTCTGGTGTTGTGTTTGTAGTATTTGTATGTATGTGTGTGTAATAGTATTCTGGTGTTGTGTTTGTAGTATTTGTGTGAGGGAGTTTTCTTCTGCAGGCTGCTCAGGTACAAGTCAACAGCAGGGCTGCAGGCGTCTCTCCTCCCTTACAGATTCCCTGTCAAAAGTCCTGGGAGGAAGTGATGCCTCACCAACTGCTGCATTTACAACTAGTGGCAAACATTCTGGTTGGCACTAGCAAGTAGCTGAAGTTCCACTGGGACCCCTGTTAGGTCAGTTACAAGTGAGAACTGAGGAACTTCCAAGCCTATTTGGGTCTGAGTACCTAGTTTGCTGTGCAAAGACACTTGCATGCCATAGCTTGCTGACCCCTGGCCTACAGTGCACCTTTAAATGTGTTCCATAGATAAATACTTTGTGTTTGTTTGTTTTTTGTAAATGTATTTGAAGACCATAATAAAACATATCTACTAATATATCAGAATTTGAGTTTATATATATATATATATATTTTTATCTATCTCTTTTGTAAACAAGAAAGTAGTTGCTTTGCTATACTCTAATCCTAGATAAGATGTATTCCTCCCCCCTCCCCCCCAAATTTTTTTTTTTTAAATGTTTCACATACTTTAGCTGCAGTAGTTGGCACAGTTTTGCTTGTTATAATCTGTAGCCAAATGCGCATATATATGTTTTCCCCATTACAAGTTGGAAGTATATATTTATATAGGAGTCCTTTAAAAAAACAAAAACATTGTACAATATATGTTTGTGCACTGAATAAGTTGGAAATTAACAATGAATAAAGACATAACAAAAATGAAAAAAAAAAAATGCTCCTCATGGTACAAAACAGCCTTTGTAATGAAAAGTTCATAACGTGCCAAAACGCACCTAAAACCTTTAATACATCAGTTTTTGACAGACCACCACAATCTTCATCAATTTATCAAACAAAAAAATATATATAAACTTAAAATGTGGGTGAGTGTGGTGCAGAGTATTCTGTGGTTAAATTCTCAGAATTATCATCCTCTGTTTCTGTGCCGCTGTTGAGCAACATTCTGTTATTGTCACTGCTCTCACCCACTACTCTGCCAGTACGTGTCTTCCGCAGCAGGTGTAACCTGGACGACTTCAGTGCCCTTGCTACGTCTTGATTAGACAGTAACTTTCGTTTGGCAGACTTTCTTGATCGGGTTTCTGAGAAGTCACTTTCTTTGATCATTAAAGTAAGTTTATTCACCTCACAGAGGTCATGGTTGATGCTGCAGCTATGTGGGATTTGCCTTCCATTCAATGAAAGTCTACAACTTTGTAAAAGGGCAGAGTTAGGAAAAAAATTGCGTAGGGCTTGGCACAAAAGAACATTTTCTTGAGGGTTGTCTGCAATTGTCTCATCCCCTGAAAGAAACATTCAGAAACACGTTAATGTAATATATTGCTTTTTGCTATAAATATACAGCGAACACAAATTAATCAATTATACTGCCGTTATGAAGCACAGGAAACGTTCCAAGAGCCAACAATCAAAATCTATTTTTCTTTTAAATAATATGTATTAAATTCTATCAACAAAATATAGGTAATTGTATAAAAATGTAAATGATCTTTCTTATTTAATATTGGTGCCATTTTCAGAAGTAAACTTGGTCTTGGTAACAGATCTTGAAATGCACAAAAATTAACAAGTATTGTCCAAAACAAACTGGACACTTTGAAGGACTTCCAGGCTGGAGTTCTGTCACCTCTTTCAATTAATACTAATTACAGAAACATCAGGAAACAATTAAAGGCACACTATAGTCACCAGAAAAACTACAGCTTAATGTAGTTGTTCTGGTAAGTATAGTCAATCCCTGCAGGTTATTGTCATGTAAACAGTGCCTTTTCAGTAAAAAGGCAGTGTTTACATTGTTGCCTAGGGACAACTCTAGTGGCTGTCACTCAGACGGTCTGAATGGAAACTTTGATTCAATGCATCTCTGTGAGGAGATGCTGATTGGCCATCATGGCATTTGGCTTCACCCTTCCCTCGCCTCCTTGGCTGAGATCATCAGAGTTAATCATCAATTCTGATGATCTCGGCAAAGGAGACCAGGCGGTGTTGGAGCCAGCGCAGCACTGGAATAAAAATCTGATTTTACACTATTTAAAGGGAGACAAAGAGGGGCCGGCCACTTACATAGTGTTTAACATAATAAGGTCACGAATACATGCTCGTATTCGTGACCGTATAGTGTTCCTTTAAGCCATACATTCAAATCCATACTCAGGAGTTTGAGCACAGAGCTTAATTTTGTGTTTTTGTATTACACAGCCATGTTACAGTGCTTCCATCCACTCCTTGTGTACCAATTTAAAGGTTAATAAATGTGCAGGGAATCAGAAGAATACCCCTTTCGCTCTCATTAGAGATGTTGCCGTTTAGCCGAAAGCAGTTAGGATAAGTCTTAGTTTAGGACTCACCTAAGAGGTTTGCCTTTAAGCGTGCTTACACTTTAGTGGCCATTGGGTGGTACTAAAAACCTCCAGTTATTTAAATTGCATAGTAATTTGGGATAGTGCGCAAGTAACTTTTTTTTTTTGGCTTTAGAAATATTCTATACATAACACTCAAGATAAACACTCCACTAAACTGTGCTTGTTTTCCTGGGGGACAAGAAGTGCCTGCGATTTCTGTGCCAACCAAGGTCGTTCTACTCTAAAGAGGAGCACAGTGTATATCTTACAAACTTGCATGGTTTTATGGGGATATTTAGTCCATCGGTGCTCGGGCTAATACAGAAGCTAAGCTGCATGTGATAGGAGAATCTCATTCAATGTTAAATAGTTAGAAATGTTTTAAACCTGCAACAGTGCAGCTACTGCAAAACCTCCTCTGTCCAGCACATCTCAGTCAGTGCTGTACAATTTACAAAAATGTCAAAGAAGCACAGCATCTTCAGGCTGTTTGCTGGTGCACTAATCCTCTAAACCTGGCATACAAGAGCCGAGTGTGCGTGCCTCTAGTGGTTAAAAAGTTATTGCAGGCAGGTACTCTGCAATTTCTTTAGCTCCCAGGTTCAATTTTGCTTGAACAATTATTCAAGAGGAGTGAGGAAAGAAGCTTTCCTAAATGTCAGCCTGACAACCAGGGGGTGTTCCCAAAAACTTTTATTAATGTGTAAATTCCTCCTTATCACCCCTGTGATTCAACAAGTTAAAATGATTTACGTGTGTGGACGCACCTTCAAATTATTTGTTTTGAAGTATATTATGCCCCAGTCACATTCAGTAAAAACTTTGTTTTTGAAATGCAAACTGTTCAAGTGATTTAAAAAAGAAAACAACTACAACTAGGGTAACTCAAATCAACTTATCATGTACAATAAATATTCTTTGGAGTTAAATTCCATTTTTTAAGCTCAGCGGTTTATTTAGTAAACCGTGAATTGTGGTGCACTGAAAACCAAACCGTTAAAATCAAACTAAATAGTTTAGATGTGAAAGATTCCAAATCAGCTATTTGGCTTAACTTACTTATTCAGTTCACTATAATTCCTTGTTTAGTGAATGAACCCCATAGTGAAATTCTGTCACAATAACAACATAAAAGAGCATTCATCAGATTAGTGGAGGAAAAAAAACACATGTATTTGGTAATCCTTATCTTAAAATTACCAGACATAGTAGAGAGCTTTTTTCTTTCAGCGATTTGCTTTTTTAGGTCATTCACTTCCTGCAGAAGTTGTTCCACCGATCTCTCACTTTCCAGCACTTTACTGCATGTTGTCTTCAGTAAATACAAAGAGAAACAGGATAAAAACAAATAGACACTGTGGAAATGGCTTTATCCGAGTCACAAAATGAATACAGCCCTAGAGCAGAAAGCAAAAAAATAAATAAAATCATATTCCCTAAAGGTGTATTACTTAGTGCTGTCCATGCCCCACATGCTGCAATTTCAGAAATGATGCCCCGTGGTACAGTTTCAAACCTCCCAACATTGAGAGGCAGGACTAGAGGTGTGAAAGTGCATCTTATGATATGCAAATGCTGAGTTTATTAAGGACATGTCTCTGGTGTCGCTTGGAGCAGAACTCCAAATAGCAGCTGTTCTGAAAATGTGGGATGGTTGGGAGGTATTGAATTTCTGCTGTGTGCATGATAACATATGTAGCTAGTGAAGGTATGTTTTTGACCCCTTAGTGACCAGACCATTTTTCAATTTTCTTACTGTTAAGGACCAGGGCTGTTTTTACATTTCTGCGTGGTTTGTGTTAAGCTGTAATTTTCCTCAAACGCATTTACTTTTTTTTTTTACCGTTTTTCCCACAATTAAATGGTCTTTTTAAAGATACCATTATTTTCATTTCATATATAATTTACTATAAAAATTTTTTCAAAATATGATGAAAATACACGTATACACATGCCTGTCAGTTCAGGTAGTCCCCCTGCAGACAGCACTATAGACGCATATTGCGGCCACGTGACTGCTCTTTCAGAGCGATCACATGGCCCGCAGAGGCCAAAGGCAGAGAGAGACAGAGAGGTACACCGATTGCCGGTGGGGGAACGGCAGCGATCGGGCTTAATGACTAGGAATACTGTGGTCCGGGGTGGGGGAGTTTAATACATGTATTTTACTTTTTTTTTTTTTTTTTAAATGCACTTTTTTTTTTTATTACTATTTTATTTTCACTGAATGCTTTGTCCCCCTCAAGGCACTCAGCACAGGCCGAGCATCGGAAGCCTGCCCCGATGGCTTCCGATGCTCTACTACTCTGCCGGGAGCCATGTGGAGTGATCACCCGGCAGCCCAGCAGTCAGGAGAGGTATTGCAGGATGCCTTGACATTGAGGCATCGCTGCAATACTGTTTAAGTGGCTGGAAGCAATCACGATCGCTTCCAGTGCTCAAATTTGGCAAGGATGTATCAGGTACTTCGAAGGTCGGTAACAACCTTTTTTTGTCGGACGTACCTGATACGTCTGCTGTCACAAAGGGCTTAAAGGCTCACTGTAGGAACTGTAACTGCTTCCTCTTGTTAAAGTGGTTATAGTGTCTGTAGTCCCCTTGTGCCATATTTCTATCACTGTTAATGCCCTTCCCTTCTCCTCCTGTCAGATGTTGCAATGTGAAGGAATCTTCCAACTGCACAAGTATACATCTGTCAGGAATGCCCAATGCACTTTTCCTGTATTCTTAGGGATGATACATTGGTTGGTTACATCATTGCACCCCCTGAGTAGAAGTGGAAATCATTAGAAAGAAGAAGGTAAATATGAAGAAGGGGAAAAAAAATCATTTACCTTCTTATTTCAGCTTCCAGAGTCAGGCAACTCACTCATTCAAAACTAAAGCTTTTTTATGAAAAAGTGTTTCAAAATGATGCATATCCCTTTAATGTAACACACCCACACATAGGTGACATCACTGACGTGTAGAAGTAGGGCAGAGGAAGAAATAACTGGGGTAGGCCAATTATCACAAAGATTTATGACCCCGCCGCTTGCCAGTAAATAACAGCTTTATGTTATACTGCCCATAGAATTGACAGATTAATCTATTATTCATTGTGCAAACTGATGCTTAGTACATCAGCTATCATAACTGATGGTTGTTGTTAAAAAGAGGGCAAGTTACAAAAACAGAATTTATACCCATATTTACCCTTTAGCTTTGTTGCATTACCCTTTTGAAGTGGGATGAACTGTAGCTGCATGAAATTTTTATAGGAATTAGACAAGTGCAATTCAATTCAGTCCGAATTTAAATTCAGACGAATTTCGGAAGTGCCAATCCGAACCGAATTGCCGAAGTGCCAATCCGAACCGAATTGCCGAATTTCGGAAGTGCCGAAGGGCTTCGGATTTCTGAAAAGTGGTAAAATTAAGGGAATGAGGACAGGAATCTAACCCTACCCCTTACCACAACCTTCCTCTAACCCTAACCCAACCCCTAGTAGGGTTAGGGTTAGGGGGTATGGTTATGGTAAGGGATAGAGGTAGGTTTAGGAGTAGTGTTAGGGTTAGGATAAGGGGTAGAGGTAGGGTTAGGGGTAGAGTTATGGGGTAGGGTTATGGAATTGCCAAAGTCTCGTATTCCCTAAGTGCTTAAGTCCAGAATTTCGGAAGTCCCGAACTGAAATTTTTGCCCATGCACATCCCTAGTAGGAATAATCCTAGCACTACAACCAATACAGCTCACCGTTTCCGACAATATACTTGTGGTTTGCTGGCCTCTGCCCACGGACACTGAATTAGGCCCAGAAGCGCTAATTTGCTTAGAATGGTTGGCGGTGCAGACAATAGGACTTCCTTGCACGGAAGGACCTGGCTCAGTAGAACTGCATGGAGCTTCAGGCTGCAGCATGTAACTGGTTGACTCCAGGTAGGTTGTTGAACCGTTCTTTAACGGCTATACTACTTACTGTGGGAGGGCGTTGTGGCACTCCTAGCATCATAACTACTGCATTGCAACTACTACAGCAGGCTGTAGTCGCTATGTTGCTTTAAGTGTTCCTTAAAGAATAGGGTTGTTATTTTTATGTTTGTTTCTTAGTTACTTGAAGTGTTTTATGTCTAGAGAAGTGCAAAACTTGGAGCTTGGGGTCAACAGATGCTCAATGAAATTAGGACAGAATTTAATTTCAACCACCCAGATATAAAAAGTGAACTAAAAAGGTAATTCTACTAGCATTCGTCTAATCTAGATATATCTAAAGTTAAATGGCGCTAAATTACCAATAGTGAATGCGAGCCCTCAAAATTTCCACTCTGCAATAGCCACTGACTAGTAAAAATGTAGCCCTGGCAAGCAGACTATGTCTTGTAGTGGCAAATAACTTTCAATGTGTGGCTGTAGGCAGGACATAAGCCCTGGTTTTTATATTTCCAGGCCTTTACAAGCTATGTATATTTAATGATCATTTTGCAATAAAAATGCAGTTAGACTATTTTCCATTTAGCCTACACAGCAGGTTAGGTCATAGGTCAGAAAATATTGATGCTTCAAGGTGAAGATCACACTACCTAGCAGACATGATAAATACCATCTATTTCAGTGATGGGAGAATATATTTGGAACTTAAAAAGTAAATATGGAATAATGAGTTAGAATGCAGCAAAGAGTTCACATAAACACAATAAAGGATTACCTTTAATTCTTCCTGAAGACTCACGTAAATATCATTTATTTTATTTACTTCTTTTAAGGTGTCATCTTCATTAAAGAATTCCAATCTGTAAAAATAACATTGAGCTGAATAAGTATATATTGTTGGATACAAGAAACTCCACCTTGTTAGACTGATCTAAAGAATAGACTAATGCATTGTAAGAAAAGTGAAGCATGTCAGCTTTATTCAATATATGCCAACCTAAATACCATTAATGCTAAAATCAGGTCACAGTATTGAAAATGGTTTTATTAACGGGACAGGTAAAAACGAAAACATTTGCATTTAAACAAAATAACGGAAAAACGTCTGTAAACCAAGTGATTTTCAAAGTAACTAAAGTTCCATTAATATCTTGGCCTTTTTCAAGGCAAAAATTTTATTCCTAAGATTAATGTATCATATTTCATACAATTAGTGATTTGCCTTGAATTTGGAATTCACTTTAAATTCTCACGTTAGCAAATAACCATGTATGATTGCTGGTTTAAGGTATTACCAATTTGATAATGTCTAAATGCCCTTTAAACAGGCTAGAATGTACACTTCCTAAACAGGGAAGGAGGCACAGGCTATAAAGCATTTCATAAATACATAGTATCATGAAAATCATTGATATGAATAAAATTGTACTGATACATAAATATAAAAAAAAAAACAACAACAAGAATTAACTGATCTATATGGAAATAGACAAAAATAATTTGATTCACATGGCTTCACTGATAAGCAGACCTTTACTAGCCGACAGTATTATACTTTCTATCCACCTAGAATACTATGGGGGTTCCTAGTTCCATGATATAAATTGTGAAGGTGCTTCCCATTCATCCAATTTCTATAACAGCAAAATTGAACAGCTGAAGTGCAATGTCATACGCTGGAAGAGCACATCCTCCAGCATCCTCCTGGAACCTCACAATATGCATTATTTATAAAATATACAACCTCCCTTACCATACATGGGTGATGGCATAGAGGAGGCAATTGAGCAGTACCAATCTAGTTAGATAGGGGATCTGCTGGACAACTGCAAACAGTGAACTTACTCTGCCACCATATACAGGTGAAAGTACAGGGTAGAAATGTTTAAAACAGGGATCCTCAGACTCTGGCCCCCCAGATGTTGCTGAACTAAAACTCCCATGATTCTTTGAATTACATAGATAGCCAGAGAATCATGGGAGTTTTAGTTCAGCAACATCTGGGGGGCCAGAGTTTGAGGACCCCTGGTTTAAAATGTCTTTCTTGGGTATAGGAGTCTGCTGATCCCACAGTTTTATGCCAAATCCCACTACCCATGAGATGGGAAACAAGTGGGTGGGGATTAAAGGCTCACCATCTTGGCATGAAGAGAAACATTGCTACCACTGTAGAACTTCCTATAAAATCATCTTTATTTCAATCCAATCACAAATTAAATTCTCGGGCACCTCACTGCATGCCACAAACGTATGTTTGCAGCAACAAAGTCCAGCACCACCTTCGTATATTAAGCCATATCTCACCATGAATGAGGAATGTGAAAAAGAGGCCACATTGTCAAGACCCTCTGGGATAATATGGGGATCTCTGTACACTTTTAAAATAATAATAAAAAATATATACTTGGTATTAAAATATTGGTATAGTATCTCATGCCTACCTGTGCTTGTTAACTGCCCGGTTAAAACCAACAGAAACACACGCTCCAGACAAAGATCTGTATCCCTGCTGTTCTGACATACCGAGGTTGGAAACTACCAGCGGCACTCTGTGAAAGAGACTGAGTGACATATCAGGCAAAATAAAAATGATACAGAACTGCAGAAATTCATCAAGTATACATACACTTCTTGCCTAGCAAATATAGCAGTACTATACTTACACTCTATCACACAAATAGACCTCTCATCTAAGATTATATGCATATTGCGGTAATGGTACTAGAACTAAAGAGATTAATGCATAGCAAAAAATATAACAATACATATATAATCAGACATTTTTTCTTGCACGGACGTTTACATTTCGGTCTGCCCATTCAGCTGCAGATCTGGCTGCGAACTGATAATGCAGATCAACAGTTGAGCAGGTGGATGGGAGACGAAGAGGCCATCAGTTCCCATGCACACAACAGTGATAGTTGTTTTTTTTTTTTTTTTTTACATCTCTGGAAGAACAGAGTATGAACCATGTTAAAGGGATAAAAAAAAAAAACAAACCTTAATTAATACATTTTGGTGTATAGATCATGCCTCTGAAGTTTCACTGTTTAAATATCTGACATTTGGGAGTTAAATCACTTTTGTTTCTGTTTATGCAGCACTAGCCACACCTCCTCTGGCTGTGACTGGCACAAAAGTTCTTATTTCCAATCAGATGTTAGAATACTTAAGAAGTTTTTATTTCCTGCTCTGTAAATTGAGCTTTATTCACACACAAGGCTCCTACAGGGTCTACAAGGCTATTAACAGAGCAGGAGATAAATTCTAGATTAAACAGACTGTGCAATAAAGAAACCTAGGATATCTACGTTAATTTTAAAGAAGTGTTTAGAAAGTCTGTGCAAGTCACATGCAGGGAGGTGTGACTTGGGCTGCATAAATAAAGTGATTTAACTCCTAAATGGCAGAGAATTAAGCAGTGAGACTGCAGAGGCATGCTCTATACAACAAAACTGCTTCACTAAGCCAAAATTGTTTTGTTGACTTTAGTGTCCCTTTAATAGATGCTAACGGTAAATAAGAAAGAAATAGTCCATGTTGGTAAAGGATCTGCATGGATCAAATTGTGATAATTAAATAGATACCTTTACTAACTCTTACCTAGCATCATTCTACACAGTTATGATTTAATATGGAGCCACAGCATTATTTACCTCTCTTGTGGTTTATGTAAAGCATACTCCATACGATGAGTAGACTTTGTCTCTGTTGTTGAACTTGATGTGAATAATAAAAACACAAGCCCCGAGTTTGACAGATACTCCTGCAGGTTCTTATGGATAAGCCTCTCCCTATATGTCATGATCTGATGTGTGTTGTGCCGAAATCTGTACCATCCAATCACGTCCTGGGAAAACGATGATGCAAGATATTACACAGACCTGACAATATGTGCCGTTCCTTGTTAGTCACTATTTACAAATTATAATTATTAAGGTTCGGAAAAGCAAGTTAATAAGATGTCACAGTAAAAAAGCAGAAATATAAAACATAAATGTACTAAAACCAAATATAAATAAATGTATGTTTAACCCCTTCAGGACGGAGTCATTAGTACACATCAAAACAAAATGTAAACAAAAACTGGTATTTGCGCTATATAATGTAATGGATAGGATATTTGGGATTCTGCTGATGTACCTACAATAGAGGACAAAACATAGTGCAAGTATTGCTACACACTATAAAACCATTGATGAAAAATATGCACTCACATATTCCAAAGAATATAAGCGTATTCAGGGTGCCTCCCCCTAAATATGAATGGGGGGGTTTATTCTCCTTTAATTCTCCCTCCTCAAGTGTTAGCCGATAGAGTATCCAGGTCAGCAAGAAGATCCAAACAATTGCAGCCAAAGGAATACTTGAAAGGCGATTTATTCACTTTTAAAATTCAAGATTCAATTCTTGAATTTTAAAAGTGAATAAATCGCCTTTCAAGTATTCCTTTGGCTGCAATTGTTTGGATCTTCTTGCTGACCTGGATACTCTATCGGCTAACACTTGAGGAGGGAGAATTAAAGGAGAATAAACCCCCCCATTCATATTTAGGGGGAGGCACCCTGAATACGCTTATATTCTTTGGAATATGTGAGTGCATTTTTTTCATCAATGGTTTTATAGTGTGTAGCAATACTTGCACTATGTTTTGTCCTCTATTGTAGGTACATCAGCAGAATCCCAAATATCCTATCCATTACATTGTTCTGCTATAAGGTTATTAGCTGGGAAATAACCTTGGGAAGCTGTGTACTTTTCAGTTAAGTTGTTGTGTTTTATCACTTTTTTCACGGGTGTCCGTGTTTTTGTTTATTTGCGCTATATGTCTGTTCAACCGTAATTCACCTCTTTCATATTAAGTGCACCCACACTTATTATATATCATTTTGTTCAGGAGAAACTGGGCCTTAATTTCTCATGAACTATTCATATTTGAAACATAATTTATTATGAATAAAATGTAAAAAACTGTGAGAAATTAAGATTTAAAAAAAAACATTTGTAGACATTTTAGCTGTAAATGTCATAATAATAACGTTAGCTTTAACTGCAAAAAAAAACACATATTTGGATTCAGCAAAGTCTCATGAGTACAACAGTACCCCCCATTAACAGTTTTTATGGTGTTTTGGGAAGTTAAAGGGTCAAATATAGCACATTCCATTTTTTTCAATTTGAAATTCGCTAGGTTGTTTATGTTGCCTTTGAGACCGTGTGATACCCCAGGAATGAGATGTACACCCATGATGGCATACCATTTGCAAAAGTAGACAACCCAAGGTATTGCAAGTGGGGTATGTCCAGTCTTTTATAGTAGCCACTTAGTCACAAACACTGGCCAAAGTTAGCGTTCATATTTGTTTTTGTGTGAAAAAAGCAAAAAAACTAATATTTGGCCAGTGTTTGTGACTAAGTGGCTACTAAAAATGACTGGACATACCCCATTTGCAATACCTTGGGTTGTCTACTTTTTCAAATGGTATGCCATCATGGGGGTTATTCTCATTCCTGGGCTACCATACGGTCTCAAATGCAACATTACCAATCTGGCAAATTTAAATGCAAAAAAAATTAAATGCAAGCCTTATATTTGACTCTCTAACTTTACAAAACACCATAAAACCTGTACATAGGGGGTACTGTTATACTTGGGACACTTCACTGAACACAAACATAAGTGTTTCAAAACAGTAAAACATATTACAACAATAACATCGTCAGTAAAAGTGCTGTTTGTGTGTGAAAAATGCAAAAAAACGTCACTTTTACTAAATATATCATCGTTGTAATACAATTTATCATTTTGAAACACTAATATTTGTGTTCAGCGAAGTCTCCCGAGTAAAACAGTACTCCCATGTACAGGTTTTATGGTGTCTTGGAAAGTTACAGGGTTAAATATAGCGTGTGCGAATTTAATTCTCTGCACTTGCTGCTTGGGTTGTCAGGCACGTCAATGAAATTTTAATTAAATCACATAATTATGTTAAAATATTACTTAAGCATACACGTAGAATTTTTATATATATATACATATATATATATACACATACACACACACATATATGTGTATTTAAATTCTACGTGTATACTTATGTAGTTATTTATGTATTTATATATATTTATCTATATATAAATATGTGCAGTTATTTGTATTTTATATATAGATATATATAGAATGTCATTCTAAGTGTATTTTATTACCAATATATATGTTTTAATAATAAAATTACATATGTATATATAATTTAAATTTTTTTTAAAATATTTTATTTAGTTTATTGATTTACTATTGTAATTATATGTATATATAAACATAAAATATATATGTATTACATTTCAGACAGTCCCCCTGCTGGCAGATCCACAGCCAGCTATAGGAGGCCATGTGATCGCTCTTTGAGAGCGATCACATGGCCCCCAGGGGCCTCCAGAAGAGGATCGCGGCGGAGGCGAGTACCACAGACCTCCAGGGACTGAAAGCCGCAACGGCTTTAAAGCACATTTAATGGGGGACGGCATAGAACGCCGTAACGGCGTTAAGGGGTTAATCCAAATGTGTATTCTGGAACCAATGGCCAAACTGGCAAAGATGATCACTATTTTTGTTACAAATTGTGGCAGACAACAGGATTCTTGCAATAATTGGTAACCTTCATTAAAGTCCAATAGGACAGAGATTATTGTTGGATATTAAACATTTATTTAAATAATGATTGATAGAGAATGAATTATTTTACCTATGCAATGCTTAGTGACTATTCCCCTAGACATACAGAGCTATAAATAAATATATATACAGTAACCTATGGATGTAGGTTGCATACTGAGACGTGGATTTAATAACATACGGTATATTATTCTGTAGCAACAGATATCTGGGCAAGCTTCCCTTGATGTTTTTTTTTTTGGTGAGAAATGGCGAGGAAATCGAGGTAAAGAATTAATGGGACACTATATTTCCCGGACAACTACAGCTTATGGAGTTTGTTCAGGTGTGTAAAATCATTACCTTCAGGCATTTTGCTGTAAACACTGTCTTTTCAGAGAAAATGCAGTGCTTACATTACAGCCCAGTGATAACTTAACTGGCCGCTCCTCAGATAGCTGTTAGAGATCCTTCCTGGGTCATGGCTGCCTAAAATCCATCCAAACATTCAGTATCTCCTCCCTCTTCATGCAGACATTGAACTTTCCTCATAGAGATTAATTGATTCAATTCATCTCTATGAGGAAATGCTGATTGGCCAGGGCTGTGTTTGAATTGTGTTGGCTCTGCCCCTGATCTGCCTCTTTGTCAGTCTCAGACAATCCTATGGGGAAGCATTGTGATTGGATCAGGCCACCACTTCTGATGATGTCAGAGAAAGTTCACAGGCAGAGACAGCAGCTTCAGACTTGAATACAAGCAAGATGTTACTATCTTTAGGGAGGCAAAGGGGGCTAGATAGTGGTTTTAACACTACAGGGTCAGGAATACATGTCTGTGTTCCTGACCCTATAGTGCTCCTTTATTAAAAGGCCCACAGGTGTAATTAGTACATCTGGAGATACCTTGCCTAACTCACCTGCAGTACCAGAGAAAAGGGGACTTGTCATAGATACAGGTAAATAAAGGGTTAAAAAGCCTTTTTGCCTTAGTTAGGTCTTTCCATGTCTGCAGGGGTTCAAAGCAAGAATTTTCTCTCTTGGCTGCAATCAATACTCCCTTTTATTTCACAGCGCAAGCTGACACAGAGAAGATAACCTTTGCATAATTTAGAGAAGATGTGCTGGACATGCGCAGTAGATTTCCTGTAATACGTAATGTTATATGAATAATTGTACTTTTTGCACTGAACGTCTATAATTGGTTGTGTCTTCTGTTGGATACACCCCTATGAAAACTGTTTGTTTCATATATACGCTGTACCCGCATTAAAAAGCTATTATTATTTTACTGGAACTTCATAATGACTGGTCTGCATTAATTGTACACAAAGATTAAGGAAAGCTCGATGTTTACAGCATAAGTCCATGGCAGCTTAAGGGTTACAGACCCTGTAAAATTCTTAGAGCCTAACAATGATAAACATATTAATGAATGAAAGCGAGCAGTGCTGGTTGCTGGGAGGAAGCACTCGAATGGCATTAAGTTTCATTGTAATTTCCATTCACTGTTTTTTAATGAACAGATAAAAAATTACTCTTACTTTTTTATGGTCTGGAAGGAACTTCTTTAATGCTGACTTGTTGAGTTCCCCACTTGCACTGTAAAAACTAAACATATAATTTGTACTATTAAGGTAAATCATCAACATCAAGTGTACCGGTATATCTAATTTAATCTAAAAAATAGGACCATTGTTTTAAATAATTATGGAATATATGTAAAACCTGTAAATTATTCTAACAATGTACAAATACTGTCCTTTCGTAGAGTATCGACATACCATACAGTACACTGGCTATTTTAATAGTAAGAATCAAGATTTGAAATTCCGCACTGAGCAGAAAAGCTGGATCTTACTATATCAATGGTGCATTATGCCTCTCTAACACTGTATATAATAATCCAAAATTAAATATAGGACAAATCCCTAAATATGATATCTCTAGCAAGGTAAACACAGTTATTCACTGGCAAATTTTACATTAAATCTGAAAAAAATAGTTTGAAAAGTTTGGCAATTTGGCCTAAAAAGTGCAATACACTGACCCATCTTCAACAAATCTCAGTTTAGAGATTTAAAGTCTCAAAATGTTTATTCAGCGTAAAGTTGAAGAGGAGACCAGAACAGACAAGTTACATTTCTCAACACTGTAAAAATAACCTAGGGATGACTACACATTTCTGCTTCTTTTAAAATAATTTAAGTAATTTTCTTAGAATCTATGGGGTTAAGGTTTACTGTCTCGAGTATATCTTCATTTTCTCTTATACTTTTTATTTCTTAAAAAGACTTTATAAATTTATTACAAAATGAGTAATCAGAGTACAAACCTTAATGGTTGGTAACATGGCACATGCTTCTGTATATCTGTGAATAATTATGGAAAAATATATTTAATGCTTTACAATAAAGAGAGTTTAAACCTAGTAATACACTTCAATAAAACTTAAAGGACCACTAACGTCACCCAGACCACTTCATCTCAATGAAGAGATCTGGATCTGGGTGAGGTGATTTAGTTTTAACCCTGCAACATAAAGCATTGCCATAAAGTAGATACATCAATGCTTAAATTACAGAATTAAATACACCTCTAGTGGATGTCTACTGCTCGGTTCTCACAGGTAACCACTATGACTATGTGGAGCATTGGACAGGACATTTAGAAGATTCTAAATCTCATCATATCACAGGAAGCGGATTAATCAGCTACATGGACTTGATCACAGTGCAAGAATAACAGGTAAGTATAGTGTTGATTTTCTATTTTTTATTTAGATTCAAGGGAAAGGCTGAATCTAAATAAAGAAAAGAACATTATAGCATTAGGAATACAAGTTTGTTTTCCGAACACTATAGTGTTCCTTTAAACAGAGCTAAACTGCAACATACTACTCCAAGCATTATTGGGAAAATGCTTATACAAAATAAAGCAAACAATGACAACAATACATAAACACATATCTACAACAACTGAATAAAAACGTATAGCACTTCCACCAAGAGTTTACAAAAAAAGAAACGGCATTGCAAACAGATTAGGCTTTACATTTCTGGTAATTTCACACATGAATTAAGATTCTCATCTTAGAGGACATGTTATATTATTCCACCTTGTCTGCTTTTATCTAAATTGTGCATAGTTAATTTATGGTTAATGATTAATGCACGAACAATCAGAAATTTAAAGGAAAAGTTTAGGCCAAAAAAGCAAAACAAAAACCAGATGTAAAATAATTTTTCCAATTCGGCTATTTAGTCCAAAATTTTGAACAATTCACACTAAACCAAGTTATTCACTAAATTCGGGGTTGTAGAGACTTGAAATGCAATTTGCAAACTTAATAGGACACTAAATGCACCCAGGCCAATTCACCAATAAAGTGGTCCACGTGCAGAGCCCCTGGTGTTTTAGCCCTGCAATCTAAAACACTACAATCTAGTGGATACAGCAATGTTTTGAATGCAGGGCTAAACATACTTCTGATGGCTGTCTTTCGCAACACCCTCATGCACTGTATGAGGATATCCAACGTCATCAAAGCCTGATCATAGGCAAGAAATTGATTTAATGGTTCCCTATGAGAAGCATTTGAATGGACACGTGCTTCTCGTCTCAATGATTTCTTATCAGAAGCACTGGATTTGACGAGAAGGCAATGAAGCGACACCTGCTAGATGATATTCTGGAAGGAGTACTGGACGGCAACACTGAGTGAGTCTTGGCGCCCAACAAAATAAATAAATAAAAATTTCTTCCATTTTTAAGTTGGTTGGGCCCCTTCAATACAAGTATGAGACACTACCCATTGTAAACTGACTGCTGAATCCCTTCTACCAGTCACCGCTGAACCCACTTTATCACCTCTACCAGTCACTGCTCTACTCACTGTACCACTTACTACTGAACTATAGTGTACTTTTTTAAGGGCAGTGGGCTGTAGCAGTTATGGTACCAGTTTCTCCACAGTCCAGTCCTGTCTTCAGATACATGTAATAAGAGAGTTCATCTACAGTACGGATAGGTGTGCTACAGTGAGTATAGTGCTTTGAATGCCCCTCTCCCTAATTAGACAAAATATGCACACAGGTGACCAGATATTTCACTTTTTCTTCTACATGTATAGTTTGCCAAAAAAATTGAAAGTGTCATGAAAATGATAAATAATAAATACCTATTGTATAAACAACTTCAACGTCATCCATTTGAGAGTCCGTGATACTATTCTTTGCTTCTCCCTTCACCTCTCCAATAAGAAAGCCTTCCTTTGCAACCAAAAAATAAAAAACGTCACAAAATTGGAGTAGTTATAAAAAGTATAATTAACGATTTGAGTTCCTGACACCTTAAAAATGATAGCCGTATATGCAAAAGATAATCCCTGCCTACCAGATATGGATATACCAAGTGATTTTAACATAATATAGATAAAAACGCTATTATTTATTGCACGTGTTTTTTTTTTTTCCTTTTAATGGTGCGAACAGACATAGTATCACACACTAAATTTAAATTCTCACTGTTGTCAATAATTAGTAAAACTGTATGACATTTTTATAACCTTTTTATCTCATTGCAATTTTTTCCACTATATCCCATTAAAACTTCCCTGTTGGTGTTCAGAAAGGTACAGAAGGGAGAGACATGGGGGTACCAGCACAGGAATCAAAGAATACATAAAATACCCTAGCCCTACTTAGGGAGCCTGTATTAAACTATGCAGTTTTCTAGCATATCATTAGGGAGTCTATTAGTAGAATGACAGTCAACTGTTTTAACATATCTTTTGTTTTTATTAAACAGTGAATCATATAAATATAAAAGCTACATCATATTTTCTAGGGGGGGATTCGTCCCCCACCATTATACGCCTATGAGAGGAGGTACAACAGTGAGTGATACAGTGGGTACAGTAGTGAATGATAGAGACAGAGCGGGTACAGCAGTGAGAAGTACAGAAGTGACTGGTAGAGGGGGTAAAGTGGGTAGAGCAGTGACTGGTAGAGGGATTCAGTAGTCAGTGTTACAATAGGTACAGCAGTGACTGGTAAAGGGGGTAAAGTGGGCTCAGCAGTGACTGGTAGAGGGGATTCAGCAGTCAGTGTTACAATGGGTAGAGCAGTGAGAGGTACAGTGGGTAAAGTAGTGAGATGTATAGTGGGTACAATAGTGAGCAGTACAATAGTGAGGGGTACAGTGGGTATAGCATTGAGAGGTACAGTAGTGAGAGGTAGTGGGTAGAGCAGTGACTGGCAGAGTGGATTCAGTGGTACAGTGGGTAGAGCAGTGAGAGATACAGTGGTCAGTGGTACAGTGGGTATAGTGGTAGGGGTTCAGTAGTAAGTGGTACAGTGAGTAGAGCAGTGACTGGTAGAGGTGATAAAGTGGGTTCAGCAGTGACTGGTAGAAGGGATTCAGCAGTCAGTTTACAATGGGTAGAGCAGTGAGAGGTACAGTAGTAAGAGGTACAGTGGATATAGCAATGAGAAGTACAGTGGGTAGAGCAGAGACTGGTAGAGTGGGTTCAGTGGATAGAGCAGTGAAAGCTACAGTAAGTACTGTAGGTGTAGTGGTACAGTGGGTATAGTAGTAGGTGTTTAGTAGTAAGTGGTACAGTGAGTAGAGCAGTGAGATATACAGTGGGTACAGTAGTCAGTAGTGTGGCACAGCGAGTAGAGCAGTGACTGGTAGAGGGGGGACAGCAGTGAGAGCTTTAAGTATATATCAGAACAAGGTGGAGCAGCTCCCCCCTCTCTCCCTATGTACTCACAGTGTCTGCTGGGGAGTTGAGATGGTGGAAGGCAAGGGCGCCAAACACAAAGCCATTGATGAGCGCGGTGGTGCTCTCTCCTTCCATACTCACACTACAGCCAGCCACCCCGGGCAGGGAACATGCACTAAACAGTAATAATTGCTGGGAGAGCGCTACACACTGCGAGCTTCCCGAACTGAAACTCTCTCTAACAGCCTGAACACATGGAGCTGTGAGTGCGCGTTAGAAGCAGGAAGCCAGACACACTAACACACACACAGAGAGCAGAGCGGACAGAGAGCCAGCATGCAGAGAGCACATTGCCAGACACACAGAGACCTCTGCTGGGCAAACACTATACTCAGCGCTCTGTCATTACCCGCTACCACCGCCAGAGGGCGCAGTATTTCTGTACCTGTTTAGGAATTATGGAGACTGCAGACTTCCACTGCGAATGATATGGAAAAATAGCCGAGATTGTACTAGAAAAAAAATAAAACCAAGTGTTGCTCTCAAATCAGTGGCGGCCCTAGACTTTGTGAGGCCTTAGATGAACCTCAATAAAAACCATCTTAAAATAATAAATAGGGGCTGCATAGGGTGGGCTTGCAGCGCTGGATACAAACAATTAGTCCCTGTATTCATTGTTCAGAGGATCCCAGTCACAAGCTCTCCGACTGTAGTTATGGCATAAATTGCTAACTAAATTAATTTGCAATAAACAAATGTAATTTGCGATTACGCTAATAATTTATACACAATTGCGGGTATTGTTAC